CCACTTTTGTCACCTCCCTCCAACTGGCTTCAACAACATTATCTTGACTCTTGCGTTTAATATGGAACTGTGTTGTTATCGGTGCTGATTGAGGTGCTGCCGTCTGCGTCTCCCATGCTGAGAAACCAGCTGGGGTGCTCAGATGACTCACAGTTGTCCCGAATGTGCCAACATGAAGAAACACAGTGCCCTCCGCTGGTACAAAGCGGCAACAGTCGATCTATGGCAGAACAACATGGTTTTCATTCCCCATGTTGTTTTGTCATACTAGCCAGGCCCTGAGGCACTTTTGATAATCCCAACTGGGTTACACTGGGTAGATCATTTGTTTGTATATTGTTGCATGTGTCCTTACAGTTGATGTCTGCCTGGAGACTGTGTTCTTGGTCCAGGTTCTGGACCACATCTATAAAACCACAAACCTCTCACAGGAAAAACCTCCTTGAAAAACCTCAGAGGAGATGTGTCAGCCATCACATTATACAATTACAAATCAGAACTCTTTGTACTAGGTTTCAGTCTCCAGTTCTAGGCCTCAGCAAGCTGGGTGGGCTTGGACATGACTGCCTACAGTGACTCACTTTGCCAATCTTGCGATGGTCTCTGTTCTTGGCCTCCTCCTGAAAACGTTCCCACTCCTTCAGCATCTTTGAGTCTGGGAATGAAATCCCATAGATCCTCTGTAGAGTCTCCATGTCGGAGCGGCCCTCCCAGTACGTTGAAGAGTTCTGATGACAGACGAAGAAAAAAGTGAAAAATTGCCATTTTACACACTTTACTTTTTTAGAAACATCATCACTAATAAAATCAGGAGCAAGTAACAGGAATCGACTCTGGGTTCATTACCTTATAAGTAGTTATAATAAAAAAATGTATCTGTCTGAGAACAGCACAAATTGATCTGGGGCTTGTGGATTTAGGACCCTGTGTGTATTTCCCACATACCTTGTAGATCTTCATGGCTTTGATCTTGCCTGTATGTCTGACATGGGGACCTCTGCACAAGTCAATCAAGGGCCCACATCTGATCAGGATTCATAGATAACACAACAGTTAGTTTGAAAGGACTAAAAGAACTAACACATCCTCTTACAAAAGAAAGATCCAGTTTAATATTTTTTTCTCCTTCTTACCTGTAGACCGTAGTAGTGGGGGTGGTGACTTTCTCATTCAGAATGCGGCATTTGAATTTGTTGTACTGAAAGACACAAACGCCTTGGGTAGGTTGGTTTTTTTTGTCTTGTTTTAAAGATTTCAGTGTTAAATGACAAATTCCATGCATGCAAATAATAATAATAATAATAATAATAATAATCCCTTATAAATACATATTTCCCGTTTTGAACATCAATTCATACTCCCACACAAGCAGAGGATATACTGACAGGAATGTTCTCTCTCTCCCTCTCTCTCACCTTAAACATCTTCAACAGTGTCTCCTTGCTGATCTCGAGCCTCTCAAAAGGCTGCTTTTCCTTCACCACAGTCTTACATAATGTCTCCAGGTCCCCAAACTCAGCACTGGAAACTCCCCTGGAGAAAGGACACATGCTCAGCTCAGTAAGGAAATCTGGCCAGAGGAGAGAAGACACTGATAGTAAAAAATATCTGCTCACTTCTGTCCATCCAGGAACATGTCGTAGTAGAAACCATTCTCTATGGGGGGTCCGTAACACAGACAACCTCCATAAAAGCGCTCCATTGCCTCCCCCAGGATGTGAGCACTGGAATGCCAATACACCTAGGATGCAAGATGAAGGTCAAATTAAAGTAAGTATGTTGTTTGGACACTGTGGCTTAGACCTTTTTAATACATTTGACATTAAGGTAGGGCACGATAAAAACAATATAAATAAAAACATTCAATAAATATAGTAAATTAAAAGATTTGCCAATGCTAAATTAAGAAAACATCCTCAAGGTTTCCCTCAGTAGCCATTAGCCATGTGTTCAAATGTATTTTATTTATTCATTTGTATTAAAAATGTACTCACAGCCTGAGCATCCTCATTGTCAAAGCGCAAGATCTCAAGAGAGCAGTCCTGCTCGAGAGGTCTGTCCAGATCCCAGAGCTCCCCATTCACCCGAGAAATCACAGCGTTGTCAGCCAGGCCCTGGCTGAAAGATCAAGTGCAAGATAGTTGCCTCAGAAATGCTGAGTCTGCATTTAACAGTGATTTCTATCATTATGATGAAAAGAAAGAACTAGGGCTGCACGTTATGGTTAAAAAAAAAAAAAAAAAAGGGTTATTGTGATTATTTTGACAGATTTTACAATTGTGATATGATTCATGATTATTATGAATGATTATTTCTGCATCACAACTTTCATTTTCAAATGAAAAAAACCCTACTAAAATCATGAGGATGTGACATCTGTTGGGGTCTGTAGTACCAAAGAAACAGATTTGTAGGCTACGGCATCTCTTCAGAGCTTCAGTGCTTAACTATAATGGCTGCTGTCACACATTTTAATCAAACAATCGCAGCTTCTTGCGATTTGGATCACATGTGGGAAACAGAGTGTCTAGTCTCCCTCTGTGGTGTCTGCTTTTATCAGACAAATTAAAATATATGGATAATATTGGCAGCCATTAATTGATAATAGAATTGTAGCCTCCACATTAGTGAATCTGGCCAGCTGTTCAAGTAGTCACCTGATATCACAAGCCAGCTGGTATGGTGTGGTGAGCCAAGCTTTGCCCGCCACCTTCCGTCCGTCTGGTAGCTCCACAGTAATGGGCTTGCTGTCTGCAGCTTTCTTTTCCTGCAGAGCATCACTCTCGCTCTTCAGCTGCTGATAGAGGCTGAGGCGCTCTGCGATGTATCCAGGCCAGGGCTTCAGCTACAGCGGAAAACATGAAAAACAATCAGTGTCAAGAAATTGTCTACGCTTAATGAATTAGGGAGTGTCGTTTTGTCATGTTAACCAACACAGTATGAAATATCCCATCTGTAAAAAGCAGGGACTCGAGCAGAAACACTTTGTTGTGTGTTATAAGCTGAAATGAGTTATGTTCCTGTTGATACAATGGGAGAAAAGAGGAGCAGGATAGCTTCTTTAATAATCACCTCTTTCACACCTCCACCTCCTTGTCCCTTATCCTGCTTCTTCTCCTTCTTGTTGTTCTTGTCACCAGATTTGGTATCCGTGGTTTCCACCTGTGCACAGAGAGCAGTGTGTGTCTTTAATACTATAATAGGGTCTTATCACCATTTCCTTCTGAGCCAGCCTATTATTAATCAGTCAGTGAACACGATCAGTATTCAAAGTGGGCATACACTGACACTGAAAGGCCAGCGTAAGGCCTATTGAGGGCAGGAAAATAAATGTCACTTATTTTAAATCAACGGTTTTTAATCAGTATTAATTCAACATCTGTTATTTTTTTGGCCTATTTCAACAAAGTGTTTTGCGGCCACATTACAGCCACACACCATGATGTCAGTAATCAGCCTATCAGGATGGAACAAAGCTTTCTTTTATTAGAATAACATTATAATCTTTTGTATTTCTCCTTTGTTGTAAAGCACTTTGAGTTTCATGTAGAAAGCTGCTATACACATAAAGTTATTATTATTATATTTCTCTCCTTAGGGCCTGGTGAACCTTTCACATTCTGGAGACTTTGAGTTTTATCCCTTCTGTTTGTTTCTGTAGCTCCAGTGTCAGTGTCAGTGTCCGACCAGGCTAGAAGCTAAATCACATCCATTGGAGCCATCACATTGTTTCATCGTTTTGTGATGTTTTTAATGTCACAATAGTGATGAAAAGGACGAAAGAAGACAATACCAGTCAGGCTCCGTCGCCATGGACACAGCAGTGCCAAGCGGACTGAGCCCGGCATCACCCATCTGGACTCCACGGGCAGCTCCCTATGAGCACTATCGGTCCGTAATGGCACTCAGAGAACTTGGGGCAGCTATTTCTGGATGTGGGGTGGTACAGATTGTCATTCAGCTCTACCGGACAGAGGCCCACTCCTCGTGCAGCACTACCCCCCACCCCCCAACCATATTACAAATGGAGCCATTTGAACCGGAGAGCATTTACTGCCCCAGTCTTTACCTTGGTATCTGCTCGGCTGTTTGTCTGCTTCACTTTGCTGCTGTTTTTTTCCGGAGCTTTGCTACTCTTCAGTCCTTCTTGTCTCTTGCCCTCAAGCTCCAGCTCTGCTCGCAGACCCCGCCGGAGGTGCAGCAGCCGGTACCTGAGCTTCTCATTCTCGGTCCGCAGGCTCTCTAGCTCCGGGGAGACCTCCGCAACACCGGCGGCACCCAGACCTCGGCTCAAACCATCGCGGAGAGACGAGATTTCCTTGGTGAGGAGCTGAATTTGCTCCTCCTGGGCTGCCAAGCGTGCAGCCAGGCACTCCGCCATCTTTAAATGACCACCATAGCCACAATGACAGCCAACTTCCGGTGAGGGTTTTTGAAAATAAAACTGATATCCACAACCACAATAAGAGCCACTTATTTTAAATACATAACAACCACCTACAGTACAGTAGATACCCATACAAAGAAAACAGTCAATAAAAAAATAATACTTAATAGGAGGAGGAAAAAATAAATGAATGAATCAATCGTTTTATATGTATCAAATATTATTTGGGTCTTTGTTGCTTTTTTAATATTAATGATCAGAATCAGAAATACTTTATTGCTCCCTGGGGGTACATTTAAAAAAGAAGATTGGACCATTTCATTTTATATATATATGGAAATTTGCCAAAAACGTGTCAACAGTTGGATTAGGAAGTTAATATTTATGTCCATTGAGTTATTTTCAAAATAAATGAAAGTATCACTACCTTAAACATTTAAAGAGGTAATAACACTTAACGTCTGTGTTTTTGCTTTTATGATATGTATATATATATATATTTAAGATAGATGTTTTAAATGTACTAAATAATGGTTTATACTAATATATAATATATTTCTGCTTGATATTGTGTGGCTGTATTGTTTCCTCCTGTGATGTGCAGTAGCGGAGGACCAACGCTAGGTGGCAGTCACATATTCTCTGATACATTGTAATGTCACTGATCACCGCAGTGCAACGTGCGACCACTATGTAAACACTGACTATTCATCCATGAGCTGAGGATTTGGTAGCTAACAGGCAAGTGTCAGCTATTTGCATATGTGTTTATAAAACGTGTGAATGAACGCGGAGAGGTGTAACTACTTCCGTTTTATTTTGGGCTGACATTACTGTACCTGTAGGCGTGCTAACTTAGCTAACTGCTAACTGTACATACATTATGACAAGGGCTACGTTAGCTACAACTTGTAGCTAACTCCCAAACGGATGTACACCAAAACCGGTTGGCTTGTTTATCAGGAAGAAACATTAACATAGTAATCCTATAGCAGACCTTTACATTAGCCTGTCTGAAATTCGGGATGTATTCGGGATACATAAAGCGACAGTAAACTTTGAATTTTAACTTCAGAGAAAGATCTGCAGCTTCCAGAGAAAAACATGCTGCAGTAAACTCTTTAAATGCTTGACAAACACAGTGGTGAAATAACGGACTGTCCCTTAACTAGAGCCCTGTTATAAAGCAGCAAGACAAGGAACTTAGTGTCCCCACCAGGTTAAAACAGTGGTCTTACATTGCAGCTCAGACCTGCTGAGGAAGTTTGATGTTGCTGCCGTCAGCATGGCTTCAACCTCCAGCTTTGCTCCACCAAAACTGTCTGACTTCATCCTCACAGAGCGACTGGGAAGTGGTACCTATGCTACAGTTTACAAAGCCTACAGAAAGGTGAGCTTGTGGGGGAGTCAGGGGAAACCTCACATAAGTCTGAAACTGAAAGTGAAAGTTGGAGTTCAGTTCTTTATTATACAATGTAAGTGTAAGTAGAGCGCTGCAGGAGGTACTCAGCCTTTGTACATTGCAGGGGGACAGTCGAGAGGTGGTGGCAGTGAAGGTGGTTGGAAAGAAGACTCTAAACAGGGCATCTACAGAAAACCTGCTCACAGAGATTGAAATCCTCAAGACTATGCGTCACCCTCATATAGTCCAGCTAAAAGACTTTCAGGTAAGCCCATTTATAGCTTCAAGATTAGTGGTAGCTTATGTAAAGGATGTATTGTGAATAGAAAAAAAAAGAGATCTAATGAAACTATGCCCTGTATACTTAGTGTTCACCTATCTATGCAAGCTACTGTATATGTTGATTCAGGGCGCCAGCAGGAAAACATCACTCTCCCAGTAGAGATGGCTAAGAAGTTTGTGTCCTATAAATATATATGTATGTATTTACCTGGACAGAAGCAATAGCCAAACTCTTGCTTCAAATCTTTCCCTGAGTGTGTTAATTTCTTCTCTGTCATCAGTGGGATGCTGAGAATATTTATTTGATCATGGAGTGGTGTTCTGGTGGAGATCTCTCCCGCTTCATTCGCAGCCGCAGGATTTTACCTGAGAGGGTGGCCCGGCGCTTCCTGCAGCAGATGGGTGAGTCATTGCCAAACCCGGGTTGCAGATAAATGGTCTGGTTTCTTTGGCTTTACGTCAGCATTGGTTCTAAGTCAGCGGCTTCCCACCAGTTATTGTATTATTCTTTCTTCTTTTTATAAATCTAGCTTCGACACTTTTTTCAGCTATTCAAACATGTGTTATATTGTTTAGAAAAAATGATAAAGCTCACTCTTGTGGTAGAAATAACATATATATCCTTTATTTTAGTGCAAGTTTATGCTCAGTGCAAACGTTAGGACTGCATGCTGTGGGCTCGATGTTTCTCTCATTATGTTTTTATATGTGTATCTGCACAAACAGCCTGTGCCCTCCAGTTTCTTCATGAGCGAAACATCTCACACCTGGACTTGAAACCTCAGAATATTCTGCTCAGCGGCTCTGTCCTCAAACTAGCAGGTAATCTCATGCTCACAGTCAAACAATCAAGTAAACACATTGATTCGCATGTGAGTTAGATCTTTTCAGCAATGCGCTACACACCAGGGAAACTGAATCATTGTCGTGCTATTGGGCCGATGTGTCTGCAGAGCAAGAAAGTCAACTTTTTTGCTTCACTGGCCACATTTGCTTTGCATGTTGTACTACCAACATATCAAGGGTTCGTTATCTTTGCTTAAATTTATGGCTTCAGACTGTTCGGAGCATTGTTCTGCTGGAATCTCTGAACATGTTGTTTATGCTGTGATTTGCTCTCAGATTTTGGCTTTGCCCAGTACATGTCACCATGGGATGAGCAGAGTGCCCTGCGAGGTTCTCCTCTTTACATGGCTCCTGAGATGGTGTGCCGCCGCCAGTATGACTCCAGAGTAGATCTCTGGTCAGTAGGAGTCATTCTTTATGGTGAGTACTTTGTTTTCACCTTTTTCATCTCTATTGAATGCAAAATAACATGAGTTATGTGCTGTGTAGCATGATTCCCCCTCAATGATAAATTCTAACGTCCCAACATCACTTCTTTTTCAAAAATATCAATATCAGTTGACTAGTTCTTCAAGCTTGAAAGCACACTGAGTAGGTCACAAACAAAATTGTGCCATTAATCATCAAATGGCAGCCGAGTTTGCTCCCTTTTTTGTGGGGTACAGTAATTACACAATAGTACAATAGCACACTACAGTAATTGCACTGTGTGGAGTGACAGTGTACATAATGGGAGGGGCTCTCGTTGCTGTCAGTCATGTAAGCCAAATAGAGTATCATGTAATTTACAGACTGTTGCCTATGAATTTCTCACTAAAGACCAACATCATTGATGTAAATACTCTGTAATTTGTAATTATAACATTGTTTGTGTGCGTGTAGAGGCACTATTTGGGAGAGCACCATTTGCATCAAGGTCATACACTGAATTGGAGGAGAAGATCCGGAGTAACCAACCTATTGAGGTAAGTAATACCTAAGCAATATCAATAAACAAGTTCCTCTTTAGTGAATTGCTGGACTGAGAGAGTTGGCAATCCTGCTTAAAAATACAAATGACTCACAGCTCGCACTAGTGCTCTAAAATAGGGTTACATAGTTGTCATTCGATGGATGCACATCTTGAGCATACCATTCTGTTATTTTCTAGAATGACAAACTTGGAAAGCAGCAGTGCTTATTTTTAGACGGGTTGCTTTTTAAGAAAAAGATGTCAGTTTGCCACTTCAATCATCCACATATACTACACACCATTACATCACCTGATGATAATAAAATAACTTGAAAAATATTTAATAGCACCTCTGTCAAGTCACCTCTGTTTGCATATTATCCTTGCGAGTTTTTAATGCTCAAACGGGAAAAAATCAAAATGCGAGGATTAAAAAGATTAATTATTTTGTTAAATGTATGTCCTACCCCACTGCTGTCCTCTGTAGAAAGCAGTATGTCACTAAATGTTTTACTGATAACGGTTTATTTAAAAACACATAACTGCTGAGTATTTTCTCCCTGTATTTGTGATTTTTCACCTTCAAACCACTAGATGGCATACTTTCACTCATATACCCATGTCCTAAATCAAAGCTCATTTAAAATTTCAATGAATGTTTGTAAACAGGCCCATATAATGTATTGAATTATGACCTGAAGAAACACAAACTTGTAATGTTTCATCTGTAGTCAGTCTATTTAATGATATACGTGTGTAAAAACAGAATAATAGATATGTTTTAAAATGCTAATTAGATTGGAGTTTTGTGTAGAGTTTACTATGTTGAAATGAAACAGTAACTAATTGCTGGCACCTTAAACTCATAGTTGTGTTTCTGCCCTGAAATGCTCGCTGCATACATGAACCAAATGTTAATTACCACAACGCAGGACAATTAAGGATAACAGTACTTTTAATGATGGAGGGCTTTCAAAACACTTGAATTCTTGTGTCAAACATTAGGCTTGAGCTCAATGGCAGCATCAGCACATGGTCCATTACCCTGGGATTCACATAGAGAGTTTTAAGGTCATCTTTTGATAAAAAGTAGTGATGTGAGACTAGAAGGTCTCTGGCAACAATCTGCTGTCCTTTTCCCTTGGATTGTCCTGTGGATCAAGTGTAACATAATAAGGTCGTGTTTTGTGCATCAGCTCCCTCCTGGGGCCAGGGTATCCAAGGACTGCAGAGACCTTCTGTTGCGGCTGCTAGAGAGAAATCCAGATGCCCGGATCACCTTTGCAGAGTTCTTCACCCACCCTTTTGTGGATTTGGAGCACATGCCGAGTGTAGAGAGCCTAGTGAAAGCGGTGAGAGAATAAGAAGAAAGGGGAAGTATGCGCCGGCATGTGTGTGTCTACTCTAGATGACCGTGAATAATGTGTGTGTGATTGACTGAGCACATGTGTTGGTAGGTTTGTGCTCATGCCTGCCCCACATGTGCCTTCACGCATGACTCTACATGCCATCATGCATAAGCACTGGCGAGTTGTAGTAGTTTGCATTCAGTGATGCCATTTCCTTTTTCCCTTTCCAGAAAGAGCTGGTCGTGCAGGCCGTTCAGAAGGACCAGGAAGGGGAAAGGTCCGCTGCTCTCTCTCTGTACTGCGGTGCCCTTGAGCACTTTGTCCCTGCTATTCACTGTAAGAGCAACAACCACTCTCATATCCTGTCTGTGGCCTAAGGCTGACAACAATGCACCGCCTTTGTTGCACCACAGTAAACTGGCAAAGTAAACGCACTAAATGTAAAACCAAAACGTCTCTTCTCTCCCCCCTCTCCAGATGAGACAGACCGTCAACGTAAAGACGCCCTCAGGCAGAAGGTAGGCCGCGTTCACATTTAGATTACTTTCTATTTTCAATTGGTCTTTTTTTGGTTACACTCGAGTGGCTTTCTCTTGGAATGAATTCTCCTCTATGAATACCATATGGTGTGGATGGAGAGCATATGGCGTGGTTGACATGATTAAGTTAAGTCAATGTAAGAGGACTTCCCGCAGGTCAGCCAGTATGTGTCCAGAGCCGAGGAACTGAAAGCCCTGGTGGCCTCAGACAACAGACTGAGCTTTGAGGAGGCCCGGACCTCCAGGGATATCCTCCGAGGTAATGAACACAGCTCGGTGCAGAGGCAGAGCCACTGTATGTCTAGTCAGCAGCTGTATGACAGGGCACCTTGAGTAATGCAATGTGTGTTTTTGTACTCGGATTTAATAAATTAAATTGAATTGAACATTAAATTATGGGGGTTCCGTATTTTTTTCCCCTGTATGATTATTATTCTTGTAAGTACATACGTCTCCAAAAATGTGATATTTTGGTCATGGAAATTTGCGTTAAACTTCTGTATACAAGGAAGCAATTGACCTGATCTACATCCTCTTAAATTAATCTTGGGAGCAAAATAGAATTTTTCTTTTCTTCTGCGTCAGAGGTCAGAGATCAGCCACAGAATGACAGTTCTAAGTCTCTTTGGAATTTTATGTTTTGCTCAAGAACACTAGGCTCTATTACTCCTAAAATAAATATTATGAAATTTTAAGTATCTCAAGTCCACAATACTGGAGTCTTAAGATACTGCCTGGCACGCACCGATTACTTATTGCATATTTTTTAGTAGAATGCATTGATGGTGCATTTAGACTGATAGACAGTAGGACTCAAAGTAGTGTTTTCTTTCTACTACAGAAATGTCTCGAGACCAACCACGACTGCTGGCTGCTCTGCAGATGGCCTCTACTGCCATTGCTAAGGTTAGAAGGGGGTACTGCTGGATGGTGCCACTGCTATAGAGATACACACAAAAGCAGGGTGAAGCAGAAGTAATACAGCAGAAAAAAACAAACCAGCAGGGAACAAACCAATCCCCTTTGATCTTTCATAGGTTTCCTTCCAAACCACATCTTTTAAGATCACTGGTGAACCAAAAACATCTATTTTGCGGTTTTGCTCGTCTGACCATGTGTTAGCTGCACAGACTTCTTTATATTTGTGTGTTTCTGCTGTTTACACCCTTAAAATTAGAAGTGAACAATGAATTGAATAAGCACATTTTGCCATGCTAACAGACTACACTATGTAAGTACCAGGGTAGCCCAAGTGTCTTTGTAGTCAGATATAAAGCAATGTTTTTCCTTATTTCCCATTAAAGGAGGAGAGTGGATTGGATGATCATGAGGTTCTGGATGTGTACCAACAGTGCCTGGGAGAACTTCTGTTGGCGCTGGCAGGTAGATAAACTCCTTTCTTTCCATACAAGATTGCTTTATGCAATTATCCTGTCCTTCACTGCTGTTGGCTACTGAACCACTCCACTGGAGCCTAAGGTTTAAAGAGGACCTATTGTGCTTTTGCTTAGTTTGTATATATTTATTTATATATATACATATATATATGTAATGAGGGCAATGTATGTAAAATATAACCCCTGTGAGCAAAAAGCTCAGAATTCATACCCCAAATGCAACGTTTCCAACATTTTTTTCTACTTTATGTGACTAACCGACATCTACTTGTCACAGTTTTATTTATATGGTTATCTACTCCAGGCAGAGCATGGCTGAGCATGCCTATGTAGTACAGGGACCCGGTTAGTCTGTCTGAGTTACCCAACTGCTGCTACTGCTCAGGAGTGCTTCAGGTTTTTGTTTGTTTTTTGCCTGCTGTTGTTGTAAAGGAAAGCTACATATTTTCTGTTTTTCCTCTGATGTCCTGCGGCTTTCTCTGACTCAACTCTCAGGGATTCACTGAGTTTACTGATGGACATTTACTTGTAACTATTAACTAACCGCTAACTGCTGCTAACAGACTGGGAGCTTGAGGCAGTGGCACTCCCGGTGGTCCAAAGCTCCTGTACTAGAGATATAACGAATAAACACCAGCTAAGTGCACTGCTAACCAGCTAACAGCAGCAGCTAGTTACTGGCTAAAGTGGCTGACCCTGTCATGCTGTCAAGAGGACGCAGCGATGTTGACAAGAACTGGGTGCGGCCTCTCGGCACGCTTTCACAAAGTTGGCCAGTCAGAAGAAAGTGGGCTTTTAGTGATGAATGAGCATAATAGCCCTCCTTTAAGTGCCTTGCTCAAGGACACCTTGGCAGTAGTTGGTGACAAAGGATGAATTTTAAATCATACTGTTCCACATCTAATGACTTCTTATGCATTCAGAGACATCACCTCAGCCTCTGGCAGCTGTGTCTGTTTGCACACATTTGGCATTAGAGAAACAGAATAATAAGTCCTTTTGAAAGGCAGATGGGTATAAGGGCACATAAAGTGATCTAGAGAGCAGACACAATGAGCAGACTGAGAGAAAATCATTCATTTTGAGTAGAGGGTACAGCGAGAATCTGAGACGGGTCGAGAAGTGGCTGAACCAAGATGATGATACTCGAGGGAAAGGCTGGGGAAGAGAGACAAAAAATGACTTGGAGAGACACTTCAAGAGAGACTTAACTGGAAACAGAGAGAGAGAGACACTTTGAGAGAGATGGATAATAAAAAAAACTGAAAGTCTCAAAGGGTGGAAAATAACTTTGAGAAAGTGATTTAGAAAGAGTTCAAGACAAACTGACGGAGAGAAAGACAGAGTGAAGAAATAGACTGAGAGAGACGGGGACACTTAATAAGTGACAGACAGACAAACCGACAGAGGAACTACAGAAGAGACTCCAGTGACTCTCTGTGGCCTGGCGTCCATTAGGACGGGCTCATGAGCTCATCTGGAAGATCGGCCTAATAGAAGAGGTGGGATAGAGTGATCCAGATGTGGCTTTGAGCCGGGATGAGACTCAGTGCCAGCACCCTGTGTGTGGTATATGAGAGCCCTGCCATCTGCTTCCCATTCAGACAGCACACTTCACTTCTTTGTGTCATTACACACTAGAAACAAATAAAAATGATTATCTCTCTAATAAAAAAGAGCTCTTATCATCCATCCTTCAGTGTTACTGAAAGTTAAAAGACTTTTTGATTTTAGATGTTAAACTTAATCGCCTGATGTCGCTAAAGAAATAGTTTACAAAAGCTAATTACATTTTTACGTGTGTTCTATAAGCAGAACCTGGTTTTGTCAGTAGATCAATAATATATGATACACAAAACTAAACTAAACTAAACTAATCCTATGCCATCCTAACCAGCCTCTCTCTCCAGTGTCAGGGAGCCTCATTGTGTGGCGCAGCATATACCACCAGGAGGATTGTGGGGAGAAAACATTGGTTCTTTGTTTGGCTAAGGGCTCTTTGTTGCACAGCTTCCCAACATGCCTTGCCACCAGAGAGCTCTCCTCCTCCTTCTCCCCTCTTTCTTCCCTCTCTGTCACTCTCCCCTCCAGGATGACAGACTGTGAAAACACTGGCCTACATTAGAACCATTTCCACTCTTGAGCCCCCAGTCTACACGCTCGCGAAATCCAATCTAGTAGTTGACTTCTTCTTGAACAAACAAGGTGATTAGGTAGTGGACTCTCTTTTTCCTTCCTCTCCTCATTATTCTCTGTATCTTTTTCTCTCTCTCTCTCTCTCTCTCTCTCTCTCTCTCTCTCTCTCTCTCTCTCTCTCTCTCTCTCTCTCTCTCTCTCGGGGAGCCAGCCGAGCCCCAGGGCCGCAGGAGAGAGCTGCTGCACAGCGAGGTGAGTAGGCGAGAAAGGGCTTCTGGTTGAGTGGTCACGGTAGGAACGACTATCTGTCATCTCCACAACAGGCCCTCCGCTGATCACCTAGCACAGTGGACACTCCATCACATTACCCACAAGCCTTTTTTCTGCAGTCACATGTACATGTTTTTTAGTGGTGATGGCCAAATAATGTAATCCATCATCTATATTACTGTTACATACACATAGATCACTGTCCACTTTATAATTGGACACTTAAAGCGACTATAATACATTATATTTCAACAATGGATCACACGTAGTGACAAACAGAGAATTATCACCCAACTCTGCAGTTCTACTCAGCTTAAAGCTTTACAATGTCTGTCAGCTCATTGGATTGATTTTATGCCCCACAACTTTATTCTTTTGGTTCACTCTTACAGCTCTCATTAGCGTTTTTTTTCTCTGCCACATGAGCGTTACAAACCGACTGTTGGCTTCTTGCTCAGCAGAAAACAGCAGACAGACAAAGTTAGCAGCTAGTTGGTGAACATAGCGGAGCATTTACAAGCTAAAAAGACAAATATTAACCTAATTACCTCATAAGACCTTTCCTGTAAACTACATACATGCTTTCGGCCACCAAGTTGAACATACTTTAACTAACTTTCGGGAATCAAGACCCTGAATACTAGCTGCCATCAATGCTCCAAACTTTTGGGCATTGTGTAGCTAGCAACTAAGCCAACAGCAGACAACAGTATTTCACCAACAAACCCCAGACTGGGGAAGGGGGTTTGAGTGGGCCTCATAGACCTCCCTATTTGAAGTTTTATGGGTGCTTGTCTTAAGTAAATTCAGATGCGGCTGTAATAATCTAACACAGCATTAGAGAGGCGGGGGCGGGGGATTCGATCGAAAGCATGTGTGTATGTGAGAACCAAAAAGAGCCAACACATGCTGCCACGACTGGCCTCCATGTGCGTTCGTATCTACTGTAGAGCACACTTTAGCCTTTCAAAGCTGTAATTCAATATCCTGGCTTCTCACTGACGAACCACAGCTTTGATCTTACCAGTGTATGTTTATATAATGTCATTATGACTGAACATACGTGAGGTCATGTTGTCCTATGAGCTGTGTCTCAGTATATGTCTCTGCAAGTTATCAATATGTCCCATGAACCATCCTCATGTAGATTTCTACCACATTTATTGTACTTTGTGATTAAAGGGATTGTGATTAAAGTGCTGTGGCTACATAAGATTGGGGTCAGGGCTGAATCCTAAAAACTGTGGTCGGAATGATTATTTACTGCAACAGATTGGTGTTTTAAAGGAGAATTATGGAAGCTATCAGTTTAGGTCTCCCATGATTATGACCCTTAGATGTTACTACAGTAATATCCAAGAGGGCTTACTTTATACTGTGACATAGTGGTGATACAACTAGGTATGAGGTGCAGCCAAGAACCTTCATGATCACCAGAGGAGTGATTACCACAGTAAAGAGCACCCTCAAGCATACGATGACAGCCGTTACTACTCGCACATGTGTGCCATATGAAACGTTTTCAAAAAATAACAAAAAGAGAAAGAAGCTGATCAGTTTAATGTGATTTTGACATGGTTTATCTCCCCATACAGCTTACAGTTATTGTGTTTCCTGCTGCACGAAGACGTGGCAGTTTACATTAAACAAAGCACAGCTCAGAAAATGCATCTGCTCTAAAAAAAGGGGGGGTTGAGTGGGACTCATAAATAAAAAGCCAAAAGCAATGAACGCTCTTTATATTTAATCTCCTGTCAATTCAAGAGCTTACTTACAAGTCTAAGAGCTGTGCTATATGAAACTGTACGTAGGCTCAACAGTGCTTTGAGCTAAATGCTAATATCTACGTGCTAACATGCTCACAGTGACGATGCTAACATGCTGATGTTCAACAGGTATAATCTTTACCATGTTCATTATCTTAGTTTAGCGTGTTGGCATGCTAACATTTGCTGCTACGCACTAACCACAAAGTACAGCTGAGCATCTGACAATTTTGACCTGATGGTGGCAGTAGATGAAAAGTTAAGGATCACCAAAGTCAACCAGGAATGCCTTTACATTATGTTATAACCACCCAGTAGTTGAGATATGAGATATATCAGTCTGGACCAAAACTGTGGACCAACCAACCATCATGTTGCCATACCTAGAGCCACACCGCAGACATGGCTAAAAAGCATTAGTAGTGAACCTATTTACATGAGCAAACGCTTGTGTCGAACGTGTGAATTGTATTTACATTCATGTCCCTCCCCAGATTAAAAGCCTCATGAGCAGAGCTGAATACATCAAAAAGAATATCAAGGTAAGCAGGAATTCCTTCCAAGGATTCGACACGTCTCCAGACCGTATGAGTAAAGTTGCCACTGAGAACATAGAATATGTTTGATTTCAGACTTTCTTTTGAAGTCTACTAAATTATATAAACTTAAAACAGTGATGTTCACTGAAGATAGTTAAATCATCTAAAACCCTTTTAGTCCCTATATCTGTTTTTAATGCCCACTTTCTGTTGTTTGCTGTTTGTTTGGTGTGTGTGTGTTTATTTTTCAGATGCAGGAGACTCAGAGGGACGTGTCTCTGGATCGAGAACCTCTTGCAGACTCTGTCAGAAGCTGTGAGTTTCCCTGCTGGCATTGTATAAACTGCTCCTCTGGTCACGAGAGTGTGTTCTTGAGAACCTTGCAGCCATGCTGACAAGTGACTGTGTGGAGGATTTAGTTCAGGAAAGGGGTGTGAGGAATGGCGGCCTAAAGATGTAATGAAATGTCCTTTCATTAAAGGTTTTTCCACTAGTAAAATATGAGCCATTCTCTTGCTGCGCTGGCCACCCCGCAGGACTGTCTGGCTCTTTGATTTCATTTCAGTGCAGCCCTGGGCCGCTGTGTCCTCTGCCCTCTTGTAAAGCTTACCTTGTGAAAGTGAGATTTGGTGCTAGCAAAGAGTTGCCCTCCTAACACACAGACACCAGAAATAACGACAGCACACACATATAAAGTTCATTCCCTAAACGTTCTCGCATGTAAATGTGCTTTATATATATATATATTTTAAGAATCAAAGTGGAATCCAAACAACAATATAATTAATTAATTTCAACATTTAATATACTGGAACTTCCCTATCTGGACACTGTATAAACAAACTAGTAAATTATATAAAAGGCGCTGTATTATTAATATATGTTACATTTTAATATACTTGAACTTCCCTAGCTGTAACCTACAGCCTAATTCCTAGTATTTTCTGGGCTGAGCTCCTAGATGGATAGTGGATACCTAAAGCCTAGACAATATCCTGTTCTCAGCAAGAAATTCCTGGGGAATTATGAATAAAAAAATGGGGCTGGGGGAAGGGCACCAATGACTCTAGAGGCCGCTCAAGTTTCATGAAGAACGTAGCTTCTTATTCTCTTATTCTGCTGCTGTTATTTTAATAAAATCACGCCACAGTCAGCCGTAATATCTGGCACTGATCCAACAGCAGCTGTACAAGAGAGGGTCGCAGAAACGCCCAAGTCTGTCTGGTGACTTTAGACTGCACCAAAACATGCAGCAAAGAACCATCACAATGTAACCCCCCCCCACTCCCCCAAAGTCTGAAGCACTAAACCCTCAAAGACTTATATTTACACCACCTGTACGATTAGTGTAGTTAGACAGGGCAAGGACTCAAAATTCTAGACAGAGGTATTTCCATGGCAAGGCTCATACTTCATATAAAGATGAATTATATGTGTTGTGTATATGTTGTAATGCTGTGCATTTTAAGTAATCTGTTTGTATGTTCAGTTTATGTGGCAACAGATATTAAATTGAGGGCCCACTTCTCCTTCAAGGTCAGAATTTATATTTACATAGTGAGTATACAGCCCAGTGAAAAATAAGTAAGAAGTAAGGTTTCAGTATAGTTGCATTAGCCTTGTGACTGACAGTGAACACAGGAGGAGCCCATCTACACCCCTTTCTATTTTGCACAAGTTTAACACAGCAAGTTGTATATTTGTTATTGTGAAAAGGTTTTTGCATTATTCTAGGGTTTTCATTGAAAAAGTGCTTTACAAAGGTATAGTTTTTCTGTATGTTTTAAAGATATTTTTTGGCCAAAGTAATCATACTACGAACTCTTTATATCCTGTATGCTTACCTTCTGTGGTCATTAACAGCAATCATCACATTTTGTGGCAGTCCTTCAAAATCAATGAACCATGGTTAAATAAGAGGTCCAGCTACTGTCACCCTAATGTTCACAAAGTTGTTGGCTAGCCAGCCATATTTATACTTAAAATGTTAAAATGTCAACTGTTCAAATGGTATTAAACAGAAAAATCAGTGTTTGAAGTAGAAGTTGACAAGATAGGTTGAAAGAAAACATCAATTTAAATCATTTTATCACATAATCTACACCATGAAGCTAGAAATGATCATTGACCTCTGGTATTTAACAATGTTGAGAATGTTTAGTACAAGGATTAGTTTTCCTTTGGACATAAAAGCGTCTAAAACTAATTGGGAAAATATAATTCTGTGTAATCCTGAAGGGAGCTACAGAAAGGCCATCCTTGTGAATGACTGATGTGGATACTGATCCCATGGAGTCGCCTTTATTAGCTAGCTTTATTATTTGAAATACAGTGGGAGACTTAAAATGGGAAATGTGTCGTAATCTTGAAAAAGTGAAACCTAACACACATCAATCATTTCTGTTTTCTCAGCTTGCTGTCTGCAGTAAGCTTGACGGCCACCGTGAGAACTGGCTGGGACGCCCCACAGAGCATCAGACTGCCTGTCAGTGTTCAGGTTGGACGCGAATGCCTTCACCTGACCAGGTTTCTGTCGCGGCCAAATCAAACCTGCATCACACCTCACTCTAACCAACTCAGAACGCTGTCCGGGTGGGATATTACAGTTGCCAGCCAAATGTGGCCAATGTTTGGGTTGTTGTTGGAAAGTTGATGAATTTGCAGGCTGAGGACTTGTGTTTAATATTTTTGAGGAAAAAAAAACTTTGGCTGGTAAAAGACTGAAAATAGTTGTTGAATTTTGGATTTGCACACTAGTGAATGTGAAAGTTAGTTCCCTGCTCCTTACACTGTGTTTTTGCACTGCTTAGACTGAAATCCCTCCTCCTGACACACCATTGATATGTAAATGCCGGACAGCTTGTATGACAATGCCACACTGTCATGGTAAACGAGTTAAACCGAGACTGTTGCATGTATTGTGCTGCCAAACATTCAACAGTATTTGCAACACACCAAAAAACTGGGAAACCTGAAAATACAATCAGATGGGAGCTGTGATGTTAAGAAGCATCACATCAGTTTGGAACTGTAGTATTAAGCATATTATATCGAGGACTGTGCAAACATGCACATACTCCCCCCCCCTCCTCTCCACTGCCTTTACTGTGGGTCAACCACAGGCTCACCATGCTCTCTCCGCTGATGGAGCCCTCTCCACCACTATGAGGGGAAAACTGGAGAGGTGCGGCCTCTGCCTTATTTACACTAGACTTGCATTTTCTTAGGTTTGGCACTGGCTGAGTATTTGTGGGATACAGTGAGTTGTGGCGCTGAAGCAAAGCCTTTATAACTAGGCCTCTGTGAAACGGTAAAAAGCTTAAGAGTCGGTGGCAGGCCGATAATCCTCGCTGTTGTAGGTCTACACGGACTGTTTTGATTCCAGACAGGTAAAGCACTTGAATATTCCAAAAGGGAGCTTTACTTTGTGAATATAATTTCTGAAAAGACCTGAAGCAGGAATCAAAGGAGAAAAATATAAATATGTCGGCTGGCAAGATTTCCCCACTTCTGTGTTGTTTTATCTTTTATTTCAATGTTTATACAGCTGTGATTTTATATATTGTATATTTATTAAATGAATTCAATGGAAAATAAAATGGTAATCACTGAAAGCTCTGTAGTCTGGACGTTTTGTCAACAGCACAAAGCGAATGCTCGTCTTTCAGAACCTACGGAAAGATTTATGTGCCGCCGTGGGAGCAACACTGCTGGTCCCTTGCCATCGTCATCATCTGGAAGGCCACTCTGCAGAAACAGCTGGCTCATGTCCACAGAGGGAGGAGAGAGGAGGGCAGGCATGGAAAAGTAAGGACAATCGATATTTATATGATTCATATAGAAGAATGGAAAACTATGGAAACTGAATATGAACATTTCCAGATCTAAAAAACTATGGAAATTAAACTAATAAGTAATTAGATCTATATTATCTTTTTTTCCCTTATATTTGCCCATATCTCTTCTGCTGTGCATGATAGGTCTAGCTCTTTTTGCAGCACTATGGCAGTTGCACTCGTGCCCAGACAAGAGAAGTAACTTGAAGTAGAAATTAAGCTTTTCAAAAAAGCGTACAGTTTTAGAAAGATGGGTGAACGTTGGATTAGTCCCACCTGTGAAAACAGCGCTAGGGTTTTCTGTGGCTCTGGAAGTGCTGTGAAAATAACACTGATTATGTCAGAGTGATGTCACCAGGGTTATCTGGGCTTGGAGAGGACACATTTATAACAGAAAGCCGGTTTGCAAACTGGAGTTTGACAGGTGTGGGTGTTGACCAGCCAGTGGGGTCTACTGAAAGATGCTATTGATTTGCATAATCGGAAATGTAGGAGCCAGTGTTTTTTTGGGCTTGGCTCTTACTAGGATTAAAAGTCAGGATATCTGAAGCTGCTTCGATTTTTACCAGTGTTGTGACATCTGTCTGGAGGAGCCCTTTAAAATGATGACTCAAAAGACAAAAAGATCTTTGAAAAATAATCAGTGAATGTGGAAAAAATATGTCTAGTTCTCCTTAAAGCAGTGAAATACAGAGTGTGGCTGTAGCTGCCTTAGGTATAACAAGTGGTTTTCAGATCTGCCCAGGACTCACAGTAATGTTTGTCTTCTGCCCTACCAGCTGGCTAATCACATTCACCTGGCATGCCAGGTGTAAATCACTACCAGACTGTATGGTTAGAACAGAGAGCAGCATGGAGCAACAGGACGGAGAACCACCGGGGGCTGCATTTGTGGCTGTGCTGCGGAGGGGGCTCTAATTGGCTAACGGTACCCATGGTGTTGGCTCAGCTTCATCGCTTTAATCATGACATGAGCATGTTGCTGCCAGGAAAACTTTGAATGCAATTTTGACTCTTATGCTTGCTTTGTTGCTTGTTTGTGGGAGTTCTGCCAATTTATATTGCCCCCCACCCCAAAAAAAAAAAAAAAAGTGCAGAGAATCTCCTCACAGTAATGCAACCCAGAGAGGAAGATTCTGAAATGGAAACCTTAATCCACCACCCTCGTCATCCAAGAAACCCCCCAGTCTCCCTTCCCTAACCACAACCTAAGGCATTGTGGCTCTAATTGGCCTCCATTTCGCTGCTGCTCCAACAACACTACTTATTGCCCTTTCCCCTTCCAGGCTCGCTCTCCCTCGCTGTCAGGCTCTGTTGATACTGTTAATGGGACAGCGGTCGAGTCGTATTGGCATCAACGTCCCCCATAAAAAGGGGTCTCTATGTTCTAGACCTGAAGGAACTGGGCACCCTTGACTCCAGCACCCCCTGCACTGAAAACAGAGAGCGGGTCAGCCATTCACTGTGGCTTGATGGTTATCATGAATGGAACATTGTACCTATGGGAGACAAGAGCCTCCTAAATCCCTGGGTTACTCCCACTTTGGAGCGGTGAAGAGAGAGTGGGGGTCCAGAGAGGGGTGGGGTGGGGGGGGTTTGTTTCAGAGAAATGTTGAATAAAGATAATTTAGAAAATGGGCTCCAGCACAGTGCTGCCTCTGTATCCCCCCCGTTCCTTCCACACACTCAACTCCCCAAGGCTGCTCTGCTCATGTTTGTTTTGATTTTGCTCCCAGAATCGGGTTGGAGGGGGGGTTTGAAGGAGACAGGGTTGTTATGTTGGAGGACTTTAAAATGCATGGCAGTGGTTAAAGCAGATTGGACCAAAGACAATCTAACTAAACTAGAGAGAGTCATGCTATACTGTAGCTGCAGGCCACTTTATTTCTCTATCTCCCTGTTTTTGTGACACAATAGTCAGTTTGAGGTGCTTGAGGATTCCTGTGGTTAACAAAAAATCAGAGAGGAGAAGCTGTGCAGAAGTTCTCTCCAGGCTCGGGGATGTTGAAATTTTCCACCTGTAACTCAGGCAACAAACTTCTAATTATTCATGAAATGTAGCTCTGTTTTGTCACGCAAGGCTGGGGACAACCTGACAAATGTGGGTCATAGAAAAACATATTTTTTTGGACTAAAGTTACATTTGCAAAACAGGTGTACACCTCACACCTAGCTGTAATGCTAAATTACTCTTTTATAGTTTGTTAATGACTTGTAAATACCAAAGTAAGTGTGGAACAAGCCCCAAATGGTTGCTTGCTCTGAAACCGTTGCTTTATTAGAGTTTTGGTCATTAGCAAGGATTGTGAATGTACTGAAAAGTGCATAAGTCCTTCTGATACCAGCTCAGTCAGATCAGTTGACATCTTTTATTGACTGCAGCTCTGCCTTCCTCCTAAAAATCATGCTGGTTTAATTACAAGTTGAGCCTAAACTGTAAGTAGAATCCTGATTTCACTTTTTGCTCCAATGAGGATGTATTGGGCAACAACTACACACTTAAAATTCCTCACCAGGTTTCAGTTACACTGATCTAATCCCTTAAATATTAGACGGTGAAACACAGCCACATGTGGCGCTTACTCTAGAGTCACTAGGCTGACTTGAGAATGACATTTTCAAACAATAACCTCTGCTTATGGTCCTCAGAGACTGTATACAGCACCTTAAAAAGGCAATGTATAAATAAAGTTATAAAGTAAATCTAATACGCGGAAGCATCGTGAACTTGTAATTTGGAAAAATAACCTTATAATTGCTATCTGGTAGGATGAATGGTATATGCAGGTATAGCAGATTATAGCCACTTCTTTTTCAATGAGTGCACCTATTTCCTAAGTATCACTGAAGCATATTCCTCTTTCAACATGTCATTAAACATATGCATAAGCTCTTAAAGGTTCTCCTGTACCAAAGACTTGGAGGTACATGTACAATAACAAAAGTATAGGACGGAGACAGGAGAGACCTTTCACACAGTGACATGGATTTCAAATCAAGCTTAATTGGGCTTTTGAGATTTATTTCTTTCTTGATCACATTACTTCCTTTTTAAATCTCTCTGTACACAAATCACATCATTACACACCTTTTAGCTCATAAAACATTTTATTATAAAACTCACCCTCCCACATGGAAGACACTGCTCTGAAGTGTTTGCTCCCCACAAGATGAGATGAATACTAAATCACGTCAGGTTTTGTGGACAAAATCTGAGCTACGTTTATGTGTTTATAGTGTATTAAATGCAAGTGACCGCAGGCACCGGCTTATTTTACTGCATATAATTGTAAAATATATACACATTTTTCATATTCTAGCTTCATAATTTAACATTTATCAACATTTTTCAAGACTTCATAACAAAACAAAAAGATTAGTTTTGACACAATTTCAAGTGGCGAAGACACAGATTGGCAGCTTCGTTACAAGAGAGCAATACTAACAAAAACAATGTTTTTACTTTCCCTTTTTTTTTTTTTTTGCTAAACAGCTTAATGTGGAGCAGTGGAAGAAAGACCGCTGGTTTGAGTCCCTGGACTGGATCTGTGTGGACCCTCAAACAGGTAACATTAGCCCTGTTATCTCCTTCAATAAATGTGTGCAACTGCAAATATGAAATCCTCAGTTTCAAAACAAAATAAAACCCTTCAAAGTACATATTCTGAGCATTACCTTACTGGGAGTTTGAGAACTGAACTTGGTTTTCCTACATGTAGCCTACAGTCTCATGCTCCTTTAACAAACTCTGTGTGACACAAAAATAATTAACATACATTCACCCATGTTGGACCATTCATACCAGCCTGCTGCCTTCGAGTGAATACGCTGTTGTTCCTGTTCACACACTGTTGTGACACCTGTATGTTCACTGATTACCGTGTTGCTGCTGCAGTGTTTCTGATTCATTAAGGCGGGGCATGACCCGGTGTTTGGTCAGTCAGTTGTTAATGTCCATAAAATGTTCTTTCTCAGGTCATGAAAACGCACTGCAACAGCTTCTGTTCTAATTATGTTTAAAACCTTGAATGTGATTCAGCCACACATAACAAAGCCAAGCAGGTAAACTCCTTATCATGAGCAGCGCTGTGGACAAACTCTGGGTATGATCTTGTTGATCTATTCGCACCAGCAACAGACAGCCAGGAAAATGGCTTGTTGCTTCAGTGTGAAAGCAGTAATAAAGACAGGGGGTCTTTTTAAAGGCGTGAAAGGGGGCAGGCAGTAGAGAGGAGGAAGAAGGGGTGGATGGGGGGGGTGTTTGTCTCAGGAAAAGTTCAATAAAACAATCTCACATGGGGGAGGGGCGCCAGACAGAGTGCTGGAGAGGGGCCTTCAGTTAATTTCAGTACTTGATCCCACACCCTTGCCTGTCCTTTTGACTGTTCCCACAAATATTTGAAGTGTGGTTGCTGCAACAATGCGGAGGCCCCTGAAATGGAGAGCAGAGCAAACAGAGACTGGATGGGTCCAATGTTTGTCTAAAGTCTTAATAAAGCCACACTCCAAAGTACCATTGAAACCAAACAAACAGGAGCTGGTTAAAGGCACACAGAATGGCAATGCCCTGCAACAAAGTGTGGCATGGTTCACTTCCTCTCACATCACCTCAAAGTATGTTTGTTACAACAGGTTTGAGACCTTCAACTTAGCAACAAGTGAGCAGTTCACTCAGACTACTGTAAGGCCATGTGTGACGATGTGAATCACAAATATTGTTTTTAAAAGAAGCAGTTTTCCTGAGTGAGATGTGCAGGAAGAATCAGTACTATGTAAATTGTACGGTTGTGGAAAGCCTACACAAATGACTACTGTGCTCACTCACTGTCGCCCTGCAACTAAAATAGGATGGCAGAGAGGCCTGGGGGTGAAGAAATACATAGCTTCCCTTCTCCAGCAGACCTGGGTTCCCATACCAACTCCAGCTGGACTTTATTTTTTCACACTGTCTCAAATCCAACAATATTTCAATCATCTCAGTACAATATCCGTGCCAGAGGAAGAAACAGGAGCGTCGTGCAGCTGGCCAACCTCTGGGAAGCAGAGGAATCAGTATACACCTCCTCTCTGTCATTTTTAGGGTCATAGTCTTCATCCTCATACATGTCATCCACATCAGGCTGGTCTGAAATAACAGTGTGGTCTCCTATGGAGCAAAGTTTGCTCATGTTCTCCTTGACCACTTCACAGAAAGGCCTCTCTACCCCATCGCAAACACAGCGGTTCAGCAGCACGCCGTTTGGGATGAACAGCATCTGCTGAATGGTGGCTTTGCACTTGGAGGAGCACTTCCTGCCGTTGAACAGCTGCCCGCAGTATGACAAGTAGGCCGTGAGGGAGGTGTGGCAGTTGCTGTCCTCCTCGCAGCGCTGCCGGGCCTCCATGCACCCTATCCCGCCGGCGTCGCTCGGGTGTCTGCGGGGGAGACAGGGCTCTACGGCTCGCTTGGCGCTGAGGCACTCAAGGTCCTGGGCGCAGTCGCAGGTCTCCAGGTCTGGCCCGCTGCGGGTGTGGTTGAGCCGTATCAGCGCATTGATGCAGTGGCTCGGACACTGCCTCCTCGTCCCCCGGATGTTGCCCTCACAAGCTGCTAGGTATTGACTGTACGCAAGCTCGCACTCGGGCTCGTCGTGGCACCGAAGGAGCGCCTGCCAGCAGATTAGCTGGGCATCTAAGGCCACCAGCACCCATGGGAGAAGTGCCAGGGCGCTGCACCAACATTTCATGCTTGGATGGAGTTCTAGTTCGGTGGCGTGAACTTTCTCCACCAGCACATTAGGATCAGGACGATTTACACATTGAATCTCTCCGACTGAAGTTCACAAGAATTCCATACATGGGAAATACACTTTGTAAATGATCCACGAACTTGCACGTAAGTTAAGTTCTCCTCCTCCTCCTCCTCCTGCGGTGATCCTCGCAACAGGATCTGACTCAGGAAATTCACCACGCGTGGCTGCAAGACAGAGAAACAGCGCAGTAACATTCATTCCGGGAAGCACGTCCGTCCAAAAAGTTGGGACTCGTACTCCAAAGTGCAGCCTGTGTGTGCTCCACGCCGCCGCTGCAGATCCGAGGTGGACATTGAAACGCGCCGCAGGGCTATCCAGAGTTAACCACAGTTATTGTCCCCAGCTCAGTTTGTACACTTGAACTCATCTTTCTTGCCATTGTTGGTTTCGACTCCTCTTCCCAGCTCTACCACTTTTAACATCCATCCACGCATTCCGGTGTTTTTGTTTTTTCCCCCTCAAGTTGGAAGAGGTTTCTATCTGTCGCAGTTCGTCCCGCTATGTGCGTCTTTGTCCCTCTCCTTGCTGTTACGCTTCACGGTCCGCCGAGCATTTCCCCACAACACCCCTCCTTCTGTCGAAAAAAAGAAAGAAAAAGTTTTCCTCCCCCCCCTCTCTCTCTCTCTCTCTCATTTACCATCCTGGCCACCGATTGGTCGTCATTGAGGAGTCAGCCGTGGGACCCACTTCCAGGCCTGCAGCCGCACAGGCTCTGCAGCACAAATCCTCTCAGTACATGATGAGATAGGCTGGATGAAAATGTTTATGATTCTCCTAGCATGAAACCCAGGATCTGTGTGGTCCCCTCTTTTCTTGTAGCAAAACACAAGTGGAAAGGGGGGGGGGCTTGCAAAACGCATTCCTTTGCAAGAAGCTCACATCTGCAACTTCACTGCTCCAATTTTCAGCGCGCACAAACAAATCTGTTCCTTTTTAACCATAAACAGGGCAGGGGGAAACCTCTGTGATAACTGCCTCTGTCGTTGAGGGTTTTCACTTAAATTTCTCGCTAATTGTCGCTCTTTCCCCCTCTCTCCCTGCCCTGCCTCTCATTCTGCAGAGTTTGTAAGGCCCCGATTGATAGAAAAGAATGGGAGAGAATAGTATTTTCTGGCCCGTTTCACCCCGATTGTGTCAGATTGGCCATGCAGTAGCCCAGTGTCTTTCCAGGCTGCAGATTGTCCACGCACTGCGGCCTATCAATAGAGAGGGGTTCCAGCATCAATATATTTTACAGCTATCCCCTTTCACACTTTCACACCACACTTGAAAACTACCAATAGCCCAGGCTTTTCTGCCATTGAAATGGTAACTAACTAGATTTTTTTTTTCAGGTCTGCCCCCACTGAGAACCAGTGCCAGTTTTGCACAAACTCCACAAAACCAGATGGATGCCCGACCTGAGATCAGTTCAACACAGTATGACAGATAGCAGTTCAGTATCCAAAACATGCACAGAGTTGGCATTAGACCTACAGTACACATAGTATATAACCAGGTGGACAAAATAACAGAAACATATATAATATATCACAACACTGCAAAATAACAATTAATAAAATTCTGTCTTCCACTCTCAACATAATTGTCCCACAGTAGTGTTTTTATAGGGCTGTACTGTATTATTTTGTTTCTTCTGTATCCACCTGTATACATACATACACTCAGCTGCCACTTTATTATGTAGTCTACACATGTACAATCTATTGAAACTTAATACAACGGTTCTGCCATAAATTCTGTCTCTGAAGTTAAGTTGAGTTTTGACATTGTGTGTTTTTTGACATTGTCATGTGTCAGTTCAACTATGTAAAACCTCTAGCTGTTATTTGGGGACAAGCATCTATATGGGATAGGCCTTTAACTCCTTTTGCCCAAAACTCTTGCTCAGCAAAGACGGGAAGTACTATCAAATTGTTTATTTAAACTATTATGAATATTACTTCCTTCAAATAACATAAATTACAAATCATTCATTTGATATGTTCATACTTTGTTGCTCAGGGTTTCCATAAAATGAACTGATCGATTGAATTGTGGAGAATCTAACTAATCTAATGACGTGTAGCATATCCATATTGACAAAAGTTTAAACATTAGATTTGTGTAGACGATCTAAGCAGCTTAGAACTCGCGTCTAATTGAGACCTGCGTTTATTTGTTACAACGTGTAGTCACACCAGGCTAGTAATGGGGACCTACCTCTCATTGAGACCCTGCTTTCAATTGAAGTTTTACAACATATGTTTATTATTGAAGTCATAGTTTAAGGTGGTTTTGTACTGCCCTACATTATATTTTTTTGTGTTTCCTATAAGGGGGCAGAAACACCTTAATTGAATGCAGTCTAGTACACCACCACTAACTATGACATTGTACAATGGCACCTAAAGTGGCCTCTACAAACATGCATGAATTGTATGTGGATTATTTGACTCATTCTGTCACTGCACTGTGCCACAGAATGAGGATGTTTTCCCTCATCAGAAATACTAAATCTATCATTTATCTTTGAGTACTGACTAAAGCATCCCATTACTGACCGTCAGTGATAATCTTATCAGCCTCTATCTGCAGCCGCCCTTGTGGACGCCTCTGTAGTCGTGAGTGTATTTTTGTCTCCACCTGGTGTTCTACTTGATGCAAATGTAAGACTAGGGACACATCATTTGCACAAGCAGCTCCTGTGCAAAAATCACACAAAACAGAGAGGAAGTTTGTTATCCTAAAAATCAGTTTATTGCAGTTAAAACTCAAAAATCACTGAAATACTTTCGGAGACAGAATGATAGAGATACTGTGAAACAAACAAAACAGCCAGAGAACTAGAAGAAACTACGTGTCGTGGCAGCCATTTCCTGATAAATCAGTTCCACAGGATGACAACACAAAAAATACATTTATATATTATTACTATCAATATTATTATTATTGAGTTATTGAATTATTATTTCAAGTCACACACACTCATACAAAGCAAACAGCTTGCTTTATGGCTTCTGTTCCACCCATTTATATTGTCTCATGATCAAACATGACAGATTCTAGTAGCTCTATTATAAAAGGACTTATTGCAACTTTTCCTCTGCTTTATATTATTTAAATGTTACGAATATACGGCTCATCTATCACATGACAATAACCACTATACTGAAAATGTTTACGTGTAGCCTCAGTTTTCATTCAGCAGTAGTGTGGCACCTACAGCATCTTGAAACAAACAGTCAGTATCTTTTTGTCCTCATTTCCTCTAAAATCAAACGTTTATATGTGAGATGAAGACTTGTATAATCATAAAGTACCCAAAGAATAACATGTTTCGGCAGTAGAGCTATAACAGGAATCAGAGTGGGGACAAATATGAGCTGACATCATCCTCCACACCACTGCTACATAAAATCAAACACTGGCAAAATGTAGCGTATATGGATTCAACACAAAATCAACAACATCCTCTCTGGATTCGCCCACGCCTTCACTTATACTCGGATAGAGAATGACAGACGGAATACCGAGTTACGCTGTAAGCCCACAATGACGCTGTGTGCTGTGTAACACCATGACCAGCACTCTCAGCCACAGGACCAGTTTAGCTTCTTTTTTTTTTTTTTTTTACAAAGACACCACTTAACATGTCACGTTGTCTAAACGACACAAAGCCACCAGCACAGAACGGCACCACTGAGACGCAGGGGGTCAATGAGATGGTGGACAGGTCAAGGGTCATGTGAAGGTCGACAGTACTACACGACACAGCGAGTTGATGAAAACAGAGGGAGGAGCAAGCCGCTGTTGACAGTATAGGCAAACAGCAGATACATTTACATCTTACACAACATAAATATATGTGGATTTATACTCACACCGCAGTTACACAGGTTGACATATTTGTGCCATTTCCTTTACATTGGTCGAAGTGTTTTCGACAAAGGCTTTGGCATATGACTTCTAAAGCATTTAAATTGTTCTAATCTGAGCAGCTTTTTTTTTAAAAAACCTCTGGATGCATCACAAAGACATATATGCTCCCCGTGTTGTTGATAATGATGCTAGGTTCAGTTTGGGAGCACAATTATTGAACACACTTACATATATATATCATATCCTGCCCTTGAGTGAGACATAATCTCTGCCTGCTCACAAATGTTTTGTTGCTTTTAATTAAAAGTAAGAAACAAACCAACAAGCAGGCCTGTCTTTGTAAAAAGTAGCTGACAGATGTTGGAGCTGTAGAGAAGACAACCTTGTACGGACATCCAAGGCACACTGAAGTACAGAAAAAGCTTAAAATGAAAAAAAAGAAGCCTTTTCTAAAGATATGTCTCGGAAAAGATTAAAACTTAGATTAATCCAGCTCACAGGGAGCTTTCATCAGGGCGCCAGGGGGCCAACATTAGTAAGCTACTTATGACAAAAATCAGCCTCATTTGTTGCTCTAAATGAATATTGCCTATTTCTAAGATTTTGTGCTTTTGTACGTGGTATATAAATAACCCCACAAATGGCTCTTTCATTTTATTTCTCCTAAAATAAATTACCCAAATTCAACATAACCCCCACACGTATGGCACATGAGCCTAGTGTGTACGTGTGTGTTCCTTCCAACTGAGCAGCTGATCTCAGTGATCCTCTCTCGGTAAAAGGTGCACGTGTTCATGAGTGAAATCATCTGCTGTGTGTTTGGAAGCAATGGAAACCTGCACACACACACACACACACACACACACACACACACCTGAGACCTCTGCTGCAGAATCATATTATGCTATCTCAGGTCACGTGAGGTACAGAGAGCGAGGGTGGTTAGGGAATGCAAGGAGTAAGGGATTCAATAGGCTGATCTTTCTCAGAGGAGGAGTTGCTCTAAAGGCAGAAGTAACCTCATTGGTTAAATATCAACAGGAGGAGCCAAACAACTACAGTCTTAGTGCCACTAAGCTAATTTCAATAAAAAATATGTATGACATTCATTACTTTTAGGACAAAACTGGCTCACCTAGATGACACTGTGGCAAGAATGATTTCTTTTCCAGTTAGTATTACGAGCCTCAGGTTTCATAATATCTTCCTCATCTTTTACTTTTCTTTCTGCTGGGCCTCAGACTAACTTTGCACAGCTAGAAAAACTGTTATTATGTGGCTCTGCCAACTGACATTCCACCCAAGCAACAAGAATATTTCTACCTCCAGAGCAGCTCTGCCTTTGAAAAATATTTGTACAAGTAAAACTCTAATCTTGTGGGATTTAGAGCTGGCCAAATCACATGAGACTGCAATTCTCCGTCTGCTTTTTGAGGTCTTCCAGTGTGGCCTGGGCTTTGTCCTTCAGCTGGTCGATGTCCACATTCTGGATGTTGGACAGCTGGCCCAGCACCGACTGCTTGTGCGTTTCCTCCTGGTTGTCCTCGGCAATCATCTTGGCCAGCTCTGTGGGCAACACCACATCGTCCCCCGCCTGCTGGATCTGGGTCTCATCCATCTCGTTCTGAAGTAGATGCGCATGTGTGTCCATGCAGACACACCCAACAGGACAAGAGAAAGAAGGACAACAAATTTAGAGGGATGTACGTCATAGAAATATTGTACTTAGCTGCAAGAATGTTGTGGGTTTTACAAAGGCAGTGATCCTGTTGGAGACAGGACAGCCCTTAAGTTCGAACACGCATTGTCTTTACTTTCAAAAGCAGAGCTGGATTAGTTTACCTTTGGTAGTCTGTACTTGTCCCGGAAATGACTTCTAACTGTGGCCCTCTCAGCTTTCTTCTGGGCAAAGTTGGCTTCTCGTTCTTGTCTGTGAGAAAGGAGGATAAATAATATTTTGGCAGAATTTTCTCAGTGCCACTGAACATAAAGATATTCATCAAATCCAACCAAAGCTGGCTAGGAAATATCTTTTTTTAACAACTGTGTCGCTTTCACCTGTGGAATAGCAATGCTAACTCCAAGCAACACACATTTAAGAGGGAATATATTACAAATGCCCCACATATTATCTGAAAATGAAAAAAAAATCCAAGTTCATTGGTGCCATGTGCAGTTGCATCTCTGCTTTAAGAGCATCATGGCGCTCCTACTGCATCTGAACCTTGGAGGTCTTGGAGCTTTGTGTTAACATCTTAACACTAACTACAGAGTGTAGAGCCAGCAGAAGGTGGAGCATCAGCAGGGATGGCTTGGGGGGGTAAAGGCAGGAAGACACGTTCTGTTTATTTTTGAGGAGCCCAAGATGCGGCATCCTGTCAGTCCAGCACTCCTTTGAGGGAATTCAGTCCTCTTGGGATGTGGACTACTAGGGGTAACCTACTAACTGCAGACTTACTACCGCTCCCCCACTTTTACAACTGTCAACCCCATAGCCTACATTTCCTGGATTTGTCTCACCCTAGCTAGTGTTTCAGTCCGTCTCCCTAGCAGCACCTACATTGTTGCTCTTCAGGTTGTTTTCATCTTTTAAGGTTGGAAACCCTCACAAGAGCTTTGTAACGGTCTTTGCAAAATGGGCAGTTTGAGGCAAACCATCTAAGAAATTAAAGCTGACACTCCAACCATCTTGCTTGAGGTCTGACCCTGCACAGAAAGAGGTATTTAGGCATTTCTACAATCCTACATCTGTCTCTGAGAAACCAACGGTTGGAAGATATTTATCTGTCTGTTCTATCAGCCTCCAGTTATTTGTTTCTTAAAACTCACTCTTGTGAACAATACAGCCGACAGTATGCAAGGCCTCCAGCAGAGGGCAGGCAATAGGCTGCTGG